TGTCACACACACACACACACACACACACACACACACACAGAGTGCAACATTTCAAATCACAAAGGCAAAACAAAACAAATTTTAAACAGTTTCCACATGCAATTTCCATATATATTCCCACTATGCTAGAACTGATTTGTAATGACACCAGGACCACACACTGTAAACATATTACAGTAATTCTCAGTGAATTTTTCCACCAAGAGAAAAAAAAAAAACTATGACCTATTTTGCATCTGATGGAATCAAATCCACTCGGCGCCAACACAGGGCATCTATAAATGCATGACTCTCACGTGGCACACGCCCACGCTGCCATCTTTTAGGCAGAGAAGCGGCGCTTCACTGCCCTCTGCCCATCTCTAGATCTAAAAGATACCCTGGGGTGTTTAATGACATGCACAGCTCACACAGGAAATGCTAATTTATTATTTAAAGCCCAGCACATAGCCTGACGGCCCGGCTGCAGCAAGATGAGAACAAACACACGGGTTCCTGGCATGCCAAATCCCATCGAGCCGAACACCATGGCCGCAGATGTGAAGGGATATCAGAAACACGGCATCAAAAACAAGACAGACCAGCCACATATCCATAAACGTGGTGACGTAACAGGTAAAATGCAGGGAAAGTATAGTTCAGAGAAGAAAAACCAAAGAGAAGGAGTGAGACAGAGGATAAAGATAATAAAAAAACTGTCACTTCTGAACATCAGTCGTGCGGGTGGTAGTCACAAAGGAAATCAACTTCTGATAGAAATATTAAACATCTCATCTGTCAGTCACAAGCAGTTGGTGCATGCATGTGTTTTTCTAAGCATGTTGGGCTCCTTTGAGACGACCTCAGTTGTTTGTTTGTTGTGGCGGCTGAACAGAAACGAGTAAAACACAACGCTTCTCCTCTTGCTGGCTTTCGATCATTAACGCTACTTTAAAAGCTTATATGCTTTGAGCCACTGTCAGACAATAGCAAAATCAGTTTATCTGAGGATAATCCAAGCTCCAAACGTCATTTTAAGATTAAGTATGCTCACAGAGCAGATCTGAAGCCATTAAATGAAAAAACTGGTCATGCAAAGTATGCAAAATTATTCCAAAGTCTACAGACCTCATTTACGCTACACACAAATTTGCTGTATTACAAGCAAATCAATTGATCTGCATGAAATACTATTTCCTTCTGAGCCATTCGTTTGTAAAGCATTTGTACAATAAAAATCATCTCTATTATCTACAGTGCCTTTATCTACAAAGGCCACGCTGACAATCTGGGACTCAAAATCTTTTGTAAAGCTGGAAACATACTGAAAGTTTTAGGATTTTTAAATTTAAAACAAAGCAATATTATGAAATAAAATAGATTACGAATTTTTAAGATTCTCTACTACAGCTCACTAATCAAACATTAATTATATGGGTCAGTGGTGTGACGCTCTCTTAGTTTATTCAGAAATATATTAAAAATGCAATTCATATAGAAAATGACTCGATTTCACATCTTCTATGATGAGCATGTTTTTAATTTCTGAATTAAAATTTGCTTTGATATTTTTGGTTAGCTCAGACTCCCGAAAAACAATTATATTTATTAAATATCATAAATAAAATGTATAAATTAATCATTCATGATATTTGAAAACACTTGTATTTTTTTTTAAGCATTTCATTTTTTTACACCACATTACATTTTTAACAATTAGGTGATAAAATGTAAAATTCCTCAAAACCATATGAAAGTATCATAAATACCTAAAGTAGAATTTTACAACTTGACAGGTGTTTTAAACTAGAGTTTTTCTTCCTTTTAAATATTATTTTTCCCGTTTCTTTATTGTGAACACTATTATACATCACTGACCCATATAATTTAATATAATCCAATTATAATCAGTTAATTTTTCAGTTCCTCCAATTAACAAACTTTTCATATAGATTGAACAATTAGGTATCTACGCATCTCACTATTCCTTAGCATAATGCACAGCAATTTTCACACTCTCAAGCGCCGCTTAAATTCCTTCAGCCCTTCTTCTTCCAGATCTCGGCTAATTCGAGGATGTTTAAGGGGGAGACCTCGACGGACACTCTGGAAAAGTGTTAGGAAGATGGAGAGCCCAAGAAGTTCCATTAGCTCTTATTACAGAGAGCTGTCCGGTCTAATGGCCGTTCCAGTCTAATGGGCATCACAAAGGCCTGTAATCAAAGAACCACAAACTCATCTTTGATTTCGCATCCCTCTCTATCCAGCTTTTATCATTAATTAGATATTAAAAATCCATCTTAAAAAAAAAATGAAGCCGTTGATTTGGACGGCGCAGCTGTGCTGAGAGAGCGAAAGAGATTGTAATGGAAGATAATGGAGCGCAGATGGCGCAAACTTAGAGAGTGGTGTAGACACCGCTGTGCCGAGAAGAGAGGAGTCTCAGATTTCCATGGCAACATTTACCATCATCGACGGTGTGCGGAGGGCAGCGAGCCCACCATTTTGTAATGCAATCCACACACGAGGCCATGATAAGCCAACATCACGATTGGGCGCTAATAGATCGAAATATCTGTTATTGCACAACTATCGCTTTCACACGACGTGCCTGGAGTGCCCTTGAGCAGGGAGGTAATTAAATATGCAGTGCCAGAATCAGTTTTAACCATATCAAATTACGATTTTATTGTTGTGGAGGCTAAATCACAGTGCGTAAAGTCACGCACGAGGAGACGAGACTGAACTGGCCTTGGCAAGCCTGTCAATCACCCTGCTCAGCCTCCTGCTCTGACATGTAATTACAGCGCCACCATAATTAGAGCTCACTGTCAGGGCCCTGAATGATGCCTTGCACTCGACTCGGAGAGAGAAAGCAAGAAGGCAAGAGAAAACCTGAGAGTTGTAAAGGAGAAAGCATGTCCACCTACACGGCGCTCATCTTCCCTGCTGATTTCTCCCCTTTATGGCCCTGTTCCATTTGCCTGTGGGTTCTCTCTGTTCATACAGACTTATTGACTGACTCTAGTCTCCCGGCACTCTCTCTCATCCTGAGCCACAGCACATCCACAAAAGAAACGGGCCAATCACTTTATGTCTGAAAGCAATTGGATTGTGCCGGGCCGAAACCCTTTGCCAGTTCGATAATGTGCGATCCAGCCACGGGCTCGTCTTTAAGTGGCCTGGTCTTAGTCTCGAGGCCTCTTTTGCTTGAGAGAGCACGAAGTTCAGTTTAAACCGGTCCTCATTGCTGTCTGGGTCACTTATTGAAACACCACTTATAATGTTTTGGATGGTAAAAGAGAAACTGAGCGAGTGTACGCGAGAGGAATAAAGAGCGAGTCCGAACGTAATGATGTAGATGGTCAGTAACAGCACAGAGATAAAACACAACACACTGAACCAGACAACACACGGCCTGTCTGTTGCAATCTAACCGCACCAATCGGTTCCGAATATTCATGACCTCCTCATGACCTTTTCAGTTCTTTATGGTAACTGGACAAAATCATTCAAAGTGAGACCTATTCGAATTTAGTCCAATTTGTCAACTGAAGATTCATTTGCTATGATCTGCAAGTTAGTTTTTCTCTACCTAGAAGCAACACCTAGCATATTAATTACAGAACTAGCACAACACGTTTAATGGCTTGAGAAATTTCTAGACTTTTCACAGCCAGGAAAACCGCATTTTAAAAGTGCACTCAGCAATTTTTTCCTCATTAAAAAGTTTTACACATAAGCAAACAAATGTTACTTTGGAAAAATGTTTATGTAAACATATATAATAACATCATGTGCACTCACATGGGATCAAGACATAATAATGTTAATAATAATACTAGTAACCTATTAAAAGCTGCTTTATTTAAAATGAAGCAGGATGCCTCATGGGGAATAAATGAAACATCTGACAGTAAACAGTACGCTTTCATAATGGCAGCGGTAATGCAAAACTTTCATCATTGCATGATAAATCCAAAATAACTGCCATAAATGTACAACAATCACTGAGTGCATCTGTAAAATTCCCTGTTTATTCCAAGTTTTTCATGAATGCAAAACCTTGTGTTTTCCAATTCATGTCCCAATCTGACAAGGAAGAACAAAAATAGATCGAACACCAGCATCAGCTTTCACAGAATAGTGAAGTAGAATAAAGTGGCCGCTGACCTGTGGAGTTGTTGTCTGCTTGCCCTGGCGGTTGGATGCGGTCGTAGTGGTGATGTCGGTGATGGAGGGCGACGTTTCTGAGCGGTTGCCCGTGGCAGAGGCACTGGACTGGGGAGTAATAGAAGAAGAGGGCATATCTCCCACCAGCCTGGCGCTACCCTCCACGCGTATGTTGGGGTCGCCCTCGGCGGCCATGTTGAGCACTTTTAGGCCATTGTAGTAAAGCCCTGAGAGCTGGCCCTGGAAGGGCCGACTGCCCTTCTCCCAGCCTCCAATCTTTATGGTAGTCTGACTGTTGAAGATGGTGAGCTGCCGACCTGCCGGGGAAGAACGTTACAGAAAATACAAGAGTGTTCAACGGCCCGCTCCCCCACGCCATAGAGACACACACATACACATGCACACGCTAACATACATAGACACACACACACACACACACACACACACACACACACAAACGAGAAAAACAAACTGATGGAAGTCCTGATGGTAAAACACACAACAACCGTAACCTTATTTTCCCTGGGGATCATGAAGCAATAAATTACACTATAATGCTAACAGCAGCACTGGTAATTTATCGACTGTAATTTAATGGCTGCTGTTGGCACAAAGTAAATAAATGAAGGGGATGAGAAAGCTGGGTCCCAAAAAAATCAATGGGACTTTGCTAAAAGGACAATCAAATAAGATGAGAGACAAAAATATTCTTCATCTGTAGAAAGTACAAATGTCCCCCTTTTTTGTGTGAGAAAATTACTGTTAATCCTTAAATACAGCAGTTTATTGCAAATGACAAAGCCTGTATGCACAGGTCTAGTAAATTTGATTGAGATTGCCTTTCAGCAAGGGCAATGGCAATTAAAATTAATTAGACTGAAATAAGGTTTATGTGAGAATGGCTTTACAGCTACATGACACATTACAAATGATTCATCATGGTTATAATTCCATTGAAAAGGGAAAGCAAGAAAACAAGCAAACTTGAAAACAAATCACTTTGAACGATTCAATTTGTTACATACATTGCAGCATGCATTCAAGTCTTTTCCCTTCTTGTGTGTTTAACTTGCTTGTTAAAGGGACTTCATATCTGATGCCAATAATCATTGAAGCTATTTAAGAGACATTTGCTTTAAGTTTTTAACTGTGCACTTTAGCAGCTTCCAAAAGAAATATGTTTAGCATGACAAGAAGATATGCATATATAAATTAAATAGTGTGTGTACATCACTATGAATTCAAATAATTTCCACTGTGGACATATACTTTAATTAGTCATTTAGATTATTACAGCTGCAAAATAACATTATTTAAATAGGTATTTTAATGATGTAAACATATTTTGTTAATGATTAAACTAACTTCAGTTATCAGTATATTACCAGTCCCTTTAACCTCTGACAGGTTTACAAGTACAGTATAACAACACATTATTGAACTGTACAGTGCATATATTACAAACTACATTTGTTTAATTTTTAAACTTGGTTATACAGGGGATTTATGTTTTAGATGGTTTATTTGCTATGCAAAATATCACTTGCTTATGATCAAATTATCTTTTATTTAAAGTTTTAATCAGTGTTTTTACCTTTGTCGAGTAGCCATTCGTCAACTACTCGACCAAGCCGATATGGGATTCGCTGTCTAGCAATCGCCAGGCGTTCGTTATCAATGTTGCCTTTAAAGTTTAAAGAGACATTTCATTGTTAAAAATCTGAAAGTTCAAAGATTAAAACCTACAGTGAAACATATGCCTTAACTGTCTGTTTTTTTCTTCTTTTTTTCCTCTTATTTTCTTTCTTTCATTTTTTTTTTATTTGGAACACCAAGGTTGCATACATAAGAATGATGAAGCTTTTCACTCAATTAAAATTTAAGCAAACAAATTAACCCTATTTGAATAGAAGCACTATGTTAAATATGCACCTACTCTTCTTGTGTTAAGAGAAACCAACCAAACTCAATCACGTTTATACACAATATCACTCCTTTACATAATACATTTACAAAATAGTCATCTTTTAAATCTTTTTAGCAGATTTTTTCATCTAGTTATACATGAAAACTAGCTCATTTTAATCTAAATATTGTCATTACAGTACATTCCAGCGTTTTGCAACCAGTTTGATTTTAGCTTCACATTTAAATGAAGGGGATGAGAAAGCTGGGTCCCAAAAAAATCAATGGGACTTTGCTAAAAGGACAATCAAATAAGATGAGAGACAAAAATATTCTTCATCTGTAGAAAGTACAAATGTCCCCCTTTTTTGTGTGAGAAAATTACTGTTAATCCTTAAATACAGCAGTTTATTGCAAATGACAAAGCCTGTATGCACAGGTCTAGTAAATTTGATTGAGATTGCCTTTCAGCAAGGGCAATGGCAATTAAAATTAATTAGACTGAAATAAGGTTTATGTGAGAATGGCTTTACAGCTACATGGCACATTACAAATGATTCATCATGGTTATAATTCCATTGAAAAGGGAAAGCAAGAAAACAAGCAAACTCGAAAACAAATCACTTTGAACGATTCAATTTGTTACATACATTGCAGCATGCATTCAATCTTTTCCCTTCTTGTGTGTTTAACTTGCTTGTTAAAGGGACTTCATATCTGATGCCAATAATCATTGAAGCTATTTAAGAGACATTTGCTTTAAGTTTTTAACTGTGCACTTTAGCAGCTTCCAAAAGAAATATGTTTAGCATGACAAGAAGATATGCATATATAAATTAAATAGTGTGTGTACATCACTATGAATTCAAATAATTTCCACTGTGGACATATACTTTAATTAGTCATTTAGATTATTACAGCTGCAAAATAACATTATTTAAATAGGTATTTTAATGATGTAAACATATTTTGTTAATGATTAAACTAACTTCAGTTATCAGTATATTACCAGTCCCTTTAACCTCTGACAGGTTTACAAGTACAGTATAACAACACATTATTGAACTGTACAGTGCATATATTACAAACTACATTTGTTTAATTTTTAAACTTGGTTATACAGGGGATTTATGTTTTAGATGGTTTATTTGCTATGCAAAATATCACTTGCTTATGATCAAATTATCTTTTATTTAAAGTTTTAATCAGTGTTTTTACCTTTGTCGAGTAGCCATTCGTCAACTACTCGACCAAGCCGATATGGGATTCGCTGTCTAGCAATCGCCAGGCGTTCGTTATCAATGTTGCCTTTAAAGTTTAAAGAGACATTTCATTGTTAAAAATCTGAAAGTTCAAAGATTAAAACCTACAGTGAAACATATGCCTTAACTGTCTGTTTTTTTCTTCTTTTTTTCCTCTTATTTTCTTTCTTTCATTTTTTTTTTATTTGGAACACCAAGGTTGCATACATAAGAATGATGAAGCTTTTCACTCAATTAAAATTTAAGCAAACAAATTAACCCTATTTGAATAGAAGCACTATGTTAAATATGCACCTACTCTTCTTGTGTTAAGAGAAACCAACCAAACTCAATCACGTTTATACACAATATCACTCCTTTACATAATACATTTACAAAATAGTAATCTTTTAAATCTTTTTAGCAGATTTTTCATCTAGTTATACATGAAAACTAGCTCATTTTAATCTAAATATTGACATTACAGTACATTCCAGCGTTTTGCAACCAATTTGATTTTAGCTTCACATTTGCTATCTAATCTAAGGTATTTTCAGTCATTTTTGATATGATAAATCTCACATTATCAGATCACAATACATTTAAAAACATCAAAGAGGCAGAAAAAACACTCAAAGGATTAAAGCAACAGGAAGATTATCAGTTCATCAGTAATGCATGTAAGATCAGTTCATGTTCCCCATGTGAATTTGAAATTGCTCTGACAAAAGCTTGGACCTCAGAGATGTCTATATGCAAACATTTAGGCACTCGTTCCCTACGGTGAGTGCCACGTGATCTAGAGCAGAAGCTGTGCTTAAATGCAGATATTTACGCAACATGTCCAGGTTGAGCCAGCTACGGTAGCTCTACTGAATTGAGATTATTTGAAAACATTTATTTCACTCCCATTACGGCCCACACATAATTACCACTCCTGACTTCGCTGGAAAATTCAACATGAACCTGACTTGCTCAGATTCCCAAAGAGTATAATTACGCCTCACAATTTTTACTCTATGAGCCATTAACTTGTTATTTGTCAATCAAAAATGAGTCTCACTCTCTCTATATGCGATTAAAGTTTGATTAAAATATGAATGTATGAAAATGTTTCCTCAACGAGACGTAACAAGAGTAGAGTAAAAAGTCAGCCCGAAGGCTATGATGTGAGAAATTCATTGTGAGAATTACTAGCAAATTTCCATTCTAATGTGTTTTCGTTTCCTATATACATATGCACAAATACTGACAGAATTGACAATTCTATCATCAAACCTGTATGACTTTCTTTCTTCAGTGGAACACAAAAGGAAAATCTTGTAAAAATATATTGGATGCTCTTTTTCAAGTAATGAAAGTGAATATGGACCATTTTTTGTCATCTTGTTATCTGAGCTAGATCTTTATTCACTTTAATTATGTGGAAAATAGCAGCAAAGACATTAGTCAAACAACTTCCTTTTGTGTTCTGCAGAAGTCATCATACAGGTTTGAAATGACAAAGCAAGGTGAGAAATTTTGGCAAATTATTCCTTTAAAGCACCAAATTTAAGCTTATACCACCTCACATGAGTATGGCTGCTCTAGTCGACTGCACTTTTGAGGTAAAGCTCTTTATTCTGTATCTGACACTGAAATGACATGACTAAATTGCTTATCAAACACAGTACAATACTGTTTTTGATAAGTGATTGCAGAAGAACACCTGCGGACAGGGAAATAAGGCTTCCACAGGGCTGCATGTAAGGACAGATGGAGTACTTGACTTGAGTTTGAGAGCGCCAATATTCTGCTGTGAGAGCGGAAAGAAGTTTGAAACTCAGTCCATTACAACGAGTCCCCCTTTCCTTTTACTTTCTTTCATTTGTATTTTTTTCCCTTCTTTAATTCTGTCATTTTCTCCCTCCTACCATGTGCAGTCAGGTCTAACTGTGATTTATGTCCACTTGTGCACTTTACCTAGAGTAATCAAGAGTGAAAGGAGTAATTTGTCTCAAATCATAGCTTAAAAGAAACAAGACAAGAAGGGGAAAAAAGCAATAGGAGCTCTTGAAGCGGGATGGACTGGATGACTAAGGGCAAGTTGTGCGCATGATCGCTTGAATGCACATAAACACACACGCACACCCACCCACCCACTCACACACACACACACACACACACACACACACACACACACGCAGTGGTCATGTTCTGTTTAAATGAGGGGGCAGTTGCCTGAGGGCCTCTCGGGTAAAGTGAAAATGACTGCCTAGTTAGCTTAGCATGCTAACAGTCTGAACACTCTTCCTTTGTAAATATTAAGACACTTTTATTATTAAACTTTTTTTTAGACACTAGGCATCTAAACAATCCAAAAAAAAAAAAAATAAAATAAATTTCTGTGCTTTTATATCTGTTCTGCATCCATTTGTATGTTATGCAATACACAGTGATTTTCAAGGACAGCAACAACACCTCAATTTATCCCTCCGCCAGTCCAAACCTCATGCTGTGGACATTTTGTGCCCAGCAGTAGCTGTGTGGCGGTAATTTTGTCAGGAACATTACAGGATCATTCCATTTAAAAAAATTTTTTTTTTATGAAAAAGGTGCTACTTAAGTGCTTGCGTCCATTTAAAATGTCTACAAATGGACATAAAGCATAGGTGATTTTAAATGCTATATACACTGTAAAATCTAATTAGTTGGGCTTACTTAAAAAAACGTACTTAAAAAGCATGCAAACCGATTGCCTTGAAAAAACGAAGTAAAGTGAAATAGGAATAGTATGTTGTACTGACAAACGCTTAGTTAGTATAGCTTACTTGCACGAGAGTTCTAGTAACCATAAAAGAACTGTAGGGGGTACGTGATCCTTTCATATAGGTTTACTCATGACTTAGTATAGCTACTCACTGACTCCCAGAGTGCATTGCGGCATGAATAAATTATGCAGTTGCTTTGTTTTACAGTTGATTTTATTTGTCAATTTTATTTGCTGTCTTGTGTCACTAGTAGCACAACAAAAAGAGCAAATAAAATGGTTATTGTTACAATTAATGAAAATAAATGAAACTGAATTGTTACCATTTTTGTGATTCACGTGCTGAATGTTTAAGTCTGTGTGTGACTTCAGCTTATTAACACACACAATTTAAAGATTATATAAACCCAATTAAAAGCATCTCAAGATATTTATGAAAAATGAAATTTGAAAAAGTTAATAAATAAACACACACAAAACATACACTATTGATTTAATTAGAAGATAAGTCACCTTCTGAAAGCAATCTATTTATTACTTATCCTCCCTTTAAATCAAATAATTCTGACTTCATGATGCATTACTGCATTAAGAGAAAAAAAATTACAGTAACAAAAAAAAAATTCCAAGTGCCCAACCAAAGGGAACACTAATCACTATAATGGTGAGTAAAAAACAGGGTTTTATGTTTATGCGGCGCGATGCAACGCAACGCGAAAAAAGACAGTATAAGGTAAGGTAACCTATTGGATTTTACAGTGTAGGGGGTTTCACCCCTCTCCTTTCATCAAAGTGCTTTTAAAAACCTGTGATTACCTGAGCTGTCAGAACTCTTAAAAATCTTTCCAACACGTTCGCTGAAAACAGCAACTGCAGTTTGTTTCACTCTCAATCCTTCCCTTAACAGTCAGTAAGAAACATTGTTACATTAAAGGGATAATTCACCTAAAAATGAATATTGTGCCATCATTTACTCACCCTCATGTCGTCCCAAACCTGTATGACTTTTGCTGAACACAAAATATATTTTCTTTTTTTAATTAAGATATATTTTTTTGTACAATGAAAGTAAGTAGGATCCTGTGTTGTTTTGGTTTCCATTTAATATAAAAAAAGCCAAATTCATCCAAAAACAAAAACAAAAAACTGAGTTCTGCAGAAGAAAAAGCTTGCTGGCATAATATTAATTTTTTGGTGAAATATTGCTTCAAGTGTCATCCGTCCTCCCAGTCAGTGTCAGAACAAAGAGCTCCCCGTGCTACTAAAATAACAATATAAAATGCAATGCAAAACACTCCTGATGTACATTTAGTGACATTTAGATGCTATTTTGATTGAAGGTTTATTTTAATTTGATTTCATTAATTTTTTTTTTTTTTAAGTAAAACGGACAAGACTTCAGGGAGATGAATTGAGTAGGGAGTTGAATAAGTGTTTCACATTGAAAATTCAGTTTCTTAGTTTAATACATCCGTTATTGCTATATGTTATTACTACATTACAATTGCATTACAATACAATCGGTTAAGTGAAAGAATGACAGAGTGGGAGGAAAAATTGCATGCTTTCTTTGTATGCTAATGCTATACTAGTTACAGAACTAATTGTTCAAGATAAACAAGCTCCCCATTTTGTTCTCCCTCGTTGTCAATTTAAATTCAATGCATTTATTATCTCGTCTAACGCAGAGTCAATCAAGCGCTGATTAAAATGAAGCGGTCATGACTAATTTTCTTTTTTTAAATATTTCAGTGGAAAAGTTTCTTCCATTCTGCCACGGACATAAGATGCATTAGTATTCAGGCAATCACAAGCGCACCGCTCACTAAATCCACAGACACAATGTAAAAACAGGAAGCTGAGAGAAAATGGCACATTACAATGGCTCCATTTTAACAAGCAATTGTCTTCCACTCCAAATGAAAGACGCTGCTGGTATTTGGGTTGTTTGTTTACACTAAAACAATGAGAGGACCTCGACGAGGAAAAACAGTACCTCTCTCTCCGTGTCTGTTTCTATTTCTATCCCTCTGTATTCTTTATAGTCCTGTTTCCAAGAACTTACGTCTGTTTCTATGATATTTTGTTTCAGCGTATGTCCTAGTTTGCCTAAGCTGTTGTAAATACAAAATGTCAACTCTTGGATTTGGATAATCCTGTTAAAATTCTTACTCTTCTCCAAATTAAATAAAACAAAATGCAATTCTATGCAACCAGTGTATCTACAGCTGAATCTAGTGTGTCTCACGAGTATACATTTGCATTTTCCCAGCACATTTTGAATTTAATGACAAGCCGTATTGAACACAATGATGAGCAATGGACGACAACGTAGCACTTATGGGATGCATGAGATTTTCCTGAGCTTCATTAACACTTCAGTCGTCGAACACTCAACATTTACCGTCAACAATCTATCACGTCTGCTCCCAAGAAGAAAGACGTTTGAAAAAGAGCAAATAATCTCTGTAATGGAAGAGATGGTTTAAGAAGAGCTTGAAGTAAAATACAAATTAAAAGACTAATACAGCCGCCTCCTTTTCATCGTGATTGACAAACGAGAGCAATGGGATTATTTCTCATCTCTGATCTCTTGTCAAGCTTTTGTCAGGGCTTTTCAGGCGACTGAGAGGCTGGTGAATTTGATAACCCTGGCTCTGACATTTTCAGCCTTCTAAAGCCCCAAGAGCAATCATCTCTGCTGACATTTGGAAAGGATACCAGGGTTACCTTTTTTTAACTTTGAGAAACCACAATCACAGACAAAGGCATTTTGTCCTTAACCCTGTGATTCAGACTCTTTTTCCTGAGCTCTGCCAGCCTTTTATTGTTCCCATTGTGAATAGCTGAGATTGTGTGTGTGTGTGTGTGTGTGTGTGTGTGTGTATGTGAACATGCGTATAAAGGCTGAGGGCTCTTACCTGTTGGGTAGCGCTCAATGACTGGCAGATCATCCACCTGCAAGGTGGCGTTACCACCACTTCTCGTAAAGCGAACTATGTGGTCCTTTCCATCATTTACAAACTTTGAGGTTTCTTCAATGTTTATGTCATCGGTGCCCACATTGAACACCACTTTGATATTGCCTCTTTCCTGTAAAGATAGAGAGAGAAAAGGGAAAAAAAGAAAGAAAGAGGGAGGGAGATAAAGGAAGAGGACTTTAAGATTATATCATAGTCATTCTGTTCTGATTCACTCCGCCAACATAAAGCGGTCAAGTTATATGCACTATTATTTTAGCATATGAACATCACATTTAATGATCATCACTCTGTCTTAGCAACCTTGCGGAAGACAATTTTTGATTATTAATAAAGGCTCTCATAGAGAGGCAGCTATACTCCATCTTAACTGGCAGAATAACAGATGTACCGAATTTATTGAGGACCAAACAAGGTGATGGTTTATCAGCCTGTGCACAATTTCTCCTGACAGCACAATGCCTCAGAAAGATTTACCACCGCCAGCAAAAAGCGGCATTCATATTTAATAACAAAAATATCTATAATTTATGTTTTAATCAGCCTATTACATGAAGGAAATGGATAGTAATAAAGAAACCGGCAAGTATTTTTCTCCATTTTAGCAGTTTTGCGATTTTCTTTTGATAATAATTAGTGGGGATATATTTGTTATGTCTGGGTATATAGAGAGAATACTACGGTTTTAGTTCAGACATTTAGTAAATATTACATGAAATCAAATTCAGTGTGTATTATTGCATTTGCAATCTGATATGTAAGTGATAATGTACAGTCAGCCAGTCATTATGACAAAATAAATCCTGACAGGTTGATCAGGACACCATCATACAGCGGGAGGTCTCGTATCACCCTAAAGTAGTTTATTTTGGATTAATGACCGGTTGACTGTACACCATCCTGCTCATTACATGATTACTTACCAATTAAATAAATAAATGGACATGAGATATTGATTGCAGCTGAAATTATTCAATTACAAGAAAGAAAATGCTGAGTGATATGAGAGACATACTATAGCTGATGCTTTGTACAATGTTCAATTAAACAACCTAGTGTGGATTATACAAAAACATTATACAGCTTTGTGGAATACTGCAGTTCAAAAATTGTAATAAATGACCGCTACACTGTATAACTGCCTCTCGTATCACCCCGTGTCCTCTTTCTTCTCATTTTGTAAAATAATTTCAACTCAATCCCCTTTGAATCAATCCTGCAGGGTGATACAAAACCCCTCAGCTTTGTGTGGGCTTCTGATTTCTGATATATATATATATATATAATACAACGCAGATGGAAAGACATAAACTCACATGCTACATTTATGGCAAAACAATATTACCAGCAGCAATCCGTAATTTTAAAGGGGGTGGCACGACTGCTGCAGATGTCAAAATAAAATTTACTGTGCCACACATTAAGCCTTGTAAACTAAATAATACTACTTTTTCATTCCCGTTCATGTTCAAAAGTTTCTCAACAAGCCTGCAGGCAGATAACATAATCGAATCACAGGAAATCACAGGAAAAAAAATAACCTTATAAGATTTTTCCCCTTGAAATCAGTGCCTCAAGGCAATATGCTGGTCATACAGAATAATGTGTGACAGTCTCAGTGAAACGGAATCTAATCTGTATATTCTGATGCGCTGCTTGTCATTTTCAGTGTAAATTCTCATCAATGCATGTTTCTGTCTTATTAATGCGAGCAGTGAGAGTGAAATCACTCTGTGTGGTTCACATCCACACCACTAGATGGCCTCAATCCTTAATGGTTTCCTATTTGATGCAGCTCAGTGGGTGGGATTGTCTTTTGATAATTACAATAAAACGTATTCATGTGCAAACTATCTCTTCTCATGAAAGCACATGCTAATAATACTCGCTCGATCCACTTGCTGCTCTTCTTATATAAAACACTAACTATGCCCACTCTGTGCTCTCCTTGATGACCTGCGTGCCCACATGCACTACTTAGTTAACTAAAAACTTGTTGCAAACTTGTTAGGAACGCTATTACAAGCCTGCACATGAGTGCAAGCAATAGTGAAAATTGTTATTTGACATATTTACAACAGATGGAGGCCATTAGTTTAAAAAACACCTAAATAGGCTGCTGTGGGAACGTGCGGTCCTTTCGATTGATTTGTTGCAGATTGCAAAAGCTACATGTGGCATTTCAAAATAATGAAATGGGGTGCGTATGAGAAGATCCCTTCGTGAATTCCCTTAATTCACACCTAACTGCAGCAAGAGAGCAAGCAGAGGACAAATCGCAACACCAGACTTCATTATACCCTCCCAGGAGATGTGTGTTTTTGTCTGGATACTCACAAGCTCTCTTTTTTTGACACACACACTCACACACACGCCCCATGTTGTCATCTCCAGCTGGGCCAAAGCTGGATGTTCCTTCCGCTTCTCACACCCCATAATGAAGACAGACTCTGCCCGTTAGCCCTATCCTCTTCCCATCAACGGGAACAATGGGGCAGCGTCTCCTTCACCCTCCTCTGTGCTCTCTAACAGCATTTCTCCAGGGCCAATCTCTTCCTCCCTGCACATCTTTTCAGCTTTGTGGTCAGAGAAGTGATGTGAGATTTTGGCCCGCACTCCAGTGGGCTGTGACATGCCACGCCCTCCTCTAATTGGAGAACGACCTCTCTTTCACCCTTCCGTCCAGGCCGTCCCTTCGGGTAACTGACCTCATCCTTCATTCGGGATGAGGCAGCTGGGACCAACACCAAGGGTGGCAGGCCTTTTGAGGACTCGGAAATGACAGCGTTGAATCAACCACATCCTGGCTAGGGGGAACATGGACATGAAGTCCGCAGAGCTGGGTAGATTACTTACAAATTGTAATCCGTTACTGATTTCAAATTACGTGACAAAAAAAATTGTAGTTAGTAACGTAATCCATTACATTACACATTTTAGGTAATGTAATCAGACTACTTTTAAATTACTTTAGGATTACTTTTGACCTATCTCGTTTTTCACATTGATTTAAATAGGATAATCTTATACCATATTGATATAAAAATACAAAGAGTAAGAAAATATATTCCATTTGTTGTTATCAACAACACAAAGTTTATTAAACATTACATTATGTCAAGGTTTCCCAAACTGGGATTATGAGTGATCTGCAGGGGGTTTATGAGTTTAATGAAAAGCTAATACTTGATTAAATGTGACCCTGGGCCACAAAACCAGTCATAAGGGTCAATTTTTTGAAACTGAGATTTATACATTGTCAGAAAGCTATATAAATAAGCTTTTCATTGATTTGTTAGGATAGGACAATATTTGGCTGAGATACAACAATCTGTAAATCTTGAATCTGAGGGTGCAAAAAAATCTAAATATTGAGAAAATTGCCTTTAAAGTTGTCCAAATGAAGTTCTTAGCAATGCATATTACTAATCAAAAATGAAGTTTTGATATATTTACAGTAGAAAATTTACAACATATCTTCATGGAACATGATCTTTACTTAATATCCTAATGATTAAATACTGCGAAAAATCGCCTTTAAAGTTGTCCAAATTAAGTTCTTAGCATTGCATATTACTAATCAAAAATGAAGTTTTGATATATTTACTGTAGAAAATCTACAAAATATCTTCATGGAATATGATTTTTAATTAATATCCTACTGATTTTTGGCATAAAATAAAAATCAATAATTTTGACCCATACAATGTATTGCTGGCTATTGCTACAAATATACCCCAGCGACTTAAGACTGGTTTTGTGGTCCAGGGTCACAAATCATAAGAATGTTACATTAAAATATATAATTTTAAAATGAATCAAAATATAACACTCACTGAAAAAACGTAAATATTTGATTTGTTTATCTGCATGTCATGTGACACGTCACAGAAGCATGAACATGCATATGTGATATTTCATTATTAAAATATTTATTTTAAAATCTCAGGGGTACTTCCAATATAAATATATTAGGTGAAAGAGGATCAGATGACAAAAAAATTGGTGAATTTCTGCATTTTAATGTATTTGAAAGACAAACGCCTTCCAAAGTAATACATGGTAAAATAACCGACTAATTGATAATTTAAATAAATTAGTGTGTTTATCACTAGTTGATGCAATGTTGAAACACTTATTAAACCTGAAATGATTTTTGTAAATCCAGTGGTCAAATGCTGCGTTGCACCGGACTAATGACTGATTTCTGTGTAAATGTCCGCAAAACTGGAAGACATTCTGAATGTATAGAAGTGGTAGGCTATTTTAGAAAGGAACATTTAAAATATGAAAAAGAGGAATAAGGGAGAATCAATAAAATAGGAATAAATTATTGCTATTGCGTAAATGACATGTAATCCATAAAAAAGTAACTGTAGTCTGATTACGAGTATTTTAAAATGTAATTTAATCTAATTACAAGTACTTAATTTTTTGAATCTGATTACGTAATCCAGATTACATGTAATCAGTTACTACCCAGTTCTGGAAGTCCGTAAGCATTTTTGAAGTTGGAAGAGTGGGCTCAGACTTTCGCAGGGGGCTTCTTCCTGCAACTTAAAGTGGGCATAGTTTAAGAGAGACACCCTACGTCCTACATTCAGTCCCGGGTGTGATAATGTCCCAGTTTCGCAGAATTTTCTGTAAAAAAAAAAAAAGAAAAAAGAGAAGGTGGCTCTATTATGAATGCCTCAGGGGCTAAACATACGGGAGGGGAGAGCAAAATTGAGCCGTGACACCAAATCCCAGATTATCACAGAATAACAAATGTTTTGGGTGCTGTGCTCAGGATTCTGTGTTCGTTAAATGATCCCTAAAGCGAGCGAAGGATGGGGTGTCATTTAAAAGGAGGGCCTGGTTCTACACGGCTGGGTCTCGGCTGTTCCTGTCCGTCTCAAGCTTCATGTCACCTCTCCACCGAGGCCTGCAGTGCTGCTCTAAATATAAAGAACTAATACAACTGGATTCTCATTAGACTCAATGGGGGTTGTTATAGCAACACTGTTCTCTAGGGTTCTCTCGTTTCTTGTAGGCAATTAGATGACAACCAAGGTGCCATCCTGATTGACAGAGCATTTCATCTACTCTGGAATTGCAACGACCTCCTCTTGC